ACTTCGAAGCGAAATAACTGCGAACTAAAGTGATTGTGTTTTATTATTAGTGTGGTTTTAGATTGTAATTAGTGTTGTGTAATTAAAGTGTCAATTTTGGTAATTCATTCGGCAGTTTTTAATTGTCTCGAACCTCAAGCTCGTAACAATATTATTTATTGCTTATTTTTTTTCTCCTTTTCCAAAAATAATTGAGTACTTAAGGTGTTTTTAATATACACCGAATGTCAGAGATTTTGCTAAACTTTAAAATCTAAAACCAATTTTAAAACAGATGAATTAATCATAACTCAATTAGCTATAAAATAAGTTATATGGTATTTATTCCAGTTTATGGCAGCCCTGATTTATATTACGTGGCTGAAATTAGGTACTTTTTATTAGGTACGTCAAACCAAATAACAGCCGGGCGGCTGACATTATGCACTCCATACATTTCTTATATCTAATTACAGCCCTATTAATTTCCACTAAAAGAAAATAACTTGTAAATTAAAACAAAAATAACTGCATTACTATGTCTATAGTCATATTCATACAAATCAAAAAGCCTATATATGAGATAATGTAAAGTAAGCATAATTTTAGCGGGATCATAACTTGTCAAATAATTAGGCAAATGATCGTTTTTCGTTGCGTACGTGTTTTGATTTTTAATTTAACACTGTTAGGTTTAAAACTGCGAGGTAATATTTGAATAAATATACTTTCCTCTAGGTACAAAGGTTTTAGATGACAATATTTGTAGTTAAGACTACTAGAAATCTTATTTATGGAGTAAAAAGGCGGAAAGGCCTGGAATTAGGGGCATAACTGGTATTAGGGGCATCCACCCTAATTCGGTAAAAAGTATCTAAGTAGGTATTAATATACCTACCCAGTATAACTAATCACAATAGGTACCTATGTAGGTATGATTAAATAAAAGGTACTTATCTAAATAGTTACCTACTTTTACTAAGTAAGTACTGATACCCACCCGTGCATCATTTTACAACCCCAAAACACCTATAACTAAACTGACCATTTATTTATTAACTCAAAACGGGACATGGGTTTATTTATACTCTAAAAACTATAACTTTATACAATTCACTGTTCACTTTAAACTAAAACAATGTTCACTATAAAATTATATTCGGTATAGACGGTAATTATTAAATGCAAAGAGAGCCTCGCAATATGGTCGTTTGTCACGGTGATCGGCGATTGGTTGCGTGGTTGGAGGGTGGGCGTTGCGCGGCGGTTTGTTTTTAATTTTACAAACGGCTGCGTAAGTCCAGCGGTGATTGGTTGCATGTTTTATCGCATGACGCAGTCGCTCGCTCCTTAGGTAGAGAGCGGTTGCATCATCGGTTTGTATAAAAGGCACTTGTTTTGGCTCGCCTCTCACTTAGCGGTTAGCCACCGTAGAGTTTATTTCACGATATAGAGTGTAGAGGCGAAACACGTGTCGTATTATCGTCAGTGGTGTGTCTTGCCTAGTGTAGTGTTGGGAGTAGCGGTGCTGGAATTAGTGGTGACGGGGATAGTGCACGCAATTGAGGGAGGGCGGGAGGTGCTCTTCACACATCATTTTATTTTATAACGCGGATATTTGGGAAGTAAATTTTTGTAAAAGCTAATATACGAGAATACATAATTCTAACATAATGCAACTAATATACCGAATAAAAAAATTAAAATACATTTATCGTTGTGCGCCGTTTGTATTTCCATAAAATAGTTTATGGATGTTGAAAAAATAATACTACGTTCGTACAGTAGGTGGCGTCTTGCATATTTCTTACGCCAGAGAGTCGGCGGCGACCGAATGCTCAAGGTGGTTCGATAAGATTAGCCCCTTAAAGGCCGGCAACGCATCTGCAATTCCCCTGGTGTTGCGGTTGTACATGGGCAGCGGTAGTCACTTACCATCAGGTGAGTCGCATGCTCGTTTGCCCCCTCTCCTATAAAAAAATCGATATAAGATTCACCACTTTCATTACTTTTCCGGTACTCCTACTCCCAAGGCGTAGTCCCGAATTCATGGAAGACAGCTTTGGTCCACCCGATCCCTAAAAAAAGCGACCGCTCAGACCCGTCCAACTACTGGCCTATCGCCATCACCTCCTTGTTCTCCAAAATAATGGAATCCATTATAAACTGCCAGCTCATGAGGTACCTTGATGATTAGTGACCGCCAGTATGGTTTTCGTCGAGGTCGATCAGCTGGTGATCTTCTAGTCTATCTGACTCATAGATGGGCGGAGGCAGTAGAGTCCAAGGCAGAGGCATTGGCCGTTAGTTTGCACATAGCGAAGGCCTTCGATCGGGTCTGGCACAAAGCGCTTCTTTCGAAGCTTCCTTCCTATGGGCTTCCCGAGAAATTGTGCAATTGGATCACCAGCTTCCTTGCAGATCGGAGCATCAAGGTCGTAGTAGAGGATGCATGCTCTGATATCAAGCCTATCAATGCTGGTGTTCCACAAGGCTGCGTGCTATCACCAACGCTGTTTCTCCTGCATATCAATGATATGTTGCTAACTGGTAGCATTCATTGCTATGCAGACGACAGCACTGGTGATGCCTTATATACCGGCCGTGCCTATATTTCTCGGGAAAACGTCGCTGAGTACCGGGACAAACTTGTGTCTGAAGTCGAGTCTTTGCTTAACAAAGTCTCGGATTGGGGGCGACTAAATCTAGTCCAGTTCAATCCCCAGAAAACACAAGTTTGTGCGTTTACCGGTAAAAAGAACCCCTTTGTCGTATCTCCTCAGTTTCAAGGCACCCCCCTTGCTGTCTCAGCTAGCATCGGAATCCTCGGCGTCGACGTATCGAACAGTGTGCAGTTTTGTGGTCACTTGGAAGGGAAGGCCAAACTGGCCTCTAAAAAGCTTGGCGTGCTCAGCAGAGCGAGACAGTATTTCATGCCGGCACATCGCTTGCAACTTTACAAAGCGCAAATCTGACCTCACATGGAATACTGTTCTCATCTCTGGGCCGGAGCACCCCAGTGCCAGCTCCTTCCACTTGACCGCATGCAGCACAGAGCGGTTGGAATCGTCGACGACGATGATCGGCTCGATACACTGGCACTGCGTAGAGATGTTGCATCTTTTTGCGTATTTTATCGCATTTACCACGTGGAGAGCTCTTAGGAATTGTTCGGACTAATTCCAGCCGCTCAATTTCACCATCGCACATCGCGGCAAAACTTGCGATACCATCCATACCACCTGGATGATTGGCGGTCCACCACTGTGCGATTTAGAAGATGTTTTCTTCCTCGCACAACTTTCTTGTGGAATCGATTACTACCATCGGTTTTTCCAGACCGATACGACTTAGGGACCTTCAAGAAATGAGCCTACACCTTTTTAAAAGGCCGGCAACGCTTCTGCAATTCCCCTAGTGTTGCGGTTGTTCATGGGCGGCGGTAGTTACTTACCATCAGGTGAGCCGCATGCTCGTTTACTACGTTTACTACTCTCCTATAAAAAAAACCTAAACCATCATAAACTAGTTCAGAAAGTGGTACCCTATTGTCAGAAAATAACAACATTGATACCAGCACCGTAATGTATGAAAACGTGACAACACGTCAACGTAATAAAATTCGCGCATCTTCACTAGCACCGCAGAACAACACATTTGAAAAGACCATGGAAGACAACTCTTTGACTATACTGGAAGACACGCGTATGAGTCTCCCAGACTTTAACATAGCTGAACACAAAGAACTACGTGATAAAATCAGCTTCTTAAAAACACAGCTAGTAAGTGCTCATTTGGAAATAGACAGATTGAACTTACAGGTTATAGATCTACATCAAAGAATGAACGACTAACAAAGAAAAAGTCAAGTATTAAAACAGTTAATAAAGTAACCTGCACCACGTAAACTAACCCCCATAAAAAAACCAGTGACACTACATTTCTGATAAAGAAAGAAGAAACAAAACAAGCAAAGTTCTCCATCAACTTCATCAAAACCCTGTCCAACGCAACCTGTAACAATTGACGTAGTTAACTCAAAGAAAATAACAGAACAATCCAGCAACAATGCCAAAAGAAAACTATGCATTTTAAGCAATAGACATTATTGAGGCCCACTACGGTTCATTGAAAATACATTTTCAAGCGATTTTAAATTTTGTCGATACCTATTACCTAACACAAGCATTAAGCTTCTCTTCACTAACTCAAAGAACAAATTGTTAAATTTTAATATGAATGACTCCTGTATAGTTGTATTAGGTGATACTGATATAAGAGACTATAGCGATTAATGTATTTGAAACGGTACTGTGTCTCAGGTAGTATGATGGTGAACAAAGAAAGTCCAAAGTTCAGTATGAGTCGGTTATAATTATTTAAATTAGAATTTACATTTAACACTGGAGAATATAAAACAAGCCAAAAAATACTACACTGAATGCAAACAAAAAGAACAAGAGTAAAATGGTGGAAACTAACAAAACAATACTAGAATGTAATTATCGTAAGTATAGAAATGCAAGGCGATCGAACGTGCGTCTACTCTGGAATCTCTGAGCGAGTGAAGGGCACCTTGGCGTGGTGAGAGTATGCTTAATAACACAGACGTAAATTCCGAAAGTTGCCGAAATATTCCGATGGGCGTGTGCGCGCGCGAAGTGGCTTTGTTCATTGTTGGTATTCCCACAGTACTCCCCCGCTGAGACCGTGGCTACGGTCAATAGTAGTCAGGAAAATGAACTTTTCTTCCACTCTTAGTAATCGTTTCTTTCGTTTTTGGATCATTATGGATGCATTTTGGAAGAGGAGATGATGAAGATGAAGCAACCGAAGTATTTGTGGGTCCATCTGTAAATAGGCAGGTTTTAGACGATCAATACTGACGCTGACCGCTTTATTTCGCACGAGCACTTTATAAAACTTCGGGTGCCTGCCTAAAACTTGATACGGGCCCGCATATGAAGGCTCTAGTGATTTTCGTACATGGTCCTGATGCAGGAATACATGACTGCAATCTGTTAGACTTTTGGGTAAATAAATGGACCATTTCTATGACACTTAGCTGGTTTTGGCGTCAGCTTAGCCATATGTGAGCGTAGACGGGTGGCGAAGGTGGTGAAATCTTCAGTGCAGTTGTTTTCTTTAGGACTTATGAACTCGCCAGGAAGGTGAAGAGGTTCGCCATACACCAGTTCAGCAGACGAAGCTTGAATATCTTCTTTCCAAGAGCTGCGAATACTAAGAAGAACGAGCGGAAGTACCTCTGTCCATTGTGTAGAGTTGTGGTACATAATGGCAACTTTCAGCTGGCGATGTACGCGCTTCACCATTCCATTAGCAGAAGGGTGGTAAGTAGTTGTGCAGAAATGACGAGCAGCAACCATGGATGCGATTGCCTTAAATAAGCAGGAATCGAACTGACGTCCTCTGTCCGTTATAATTCGAGCAGGGCAGCCAAATCTCAATCAGCCACCCAGATACCAGAGCGTAGGCACAGGATTCTGCTGTGATGTCTTTCAGGGGAATCGCCTCAGGCCATCGTGTAAATCTATCGATGATAGTGAGGCAATATCTGAAATCATAAGAGAGAGTTAGTGGCCCTATAATATCGAGATGTATATGAGAGAATCTCGATGAAGGCGTAGGAAAAGAGGAAAGGGGAGCGGAAGTGTGACGGGTAATCTTGCTGCATTGGCAAGCAAGGCAATGCCTAGCCCACTCTCTACAGTCTCTACAAATGCCAGGCCAGACAAACCTATCAGTGACAAGACGTACTTTAGCTGAACTTCCTGGGTGAGTTAATCCATGAAGCATATCGAACACTTGCCTTCTAAATGCTTTTGTAATGAAAGGTCTTGGCCGCTATACAGATATGTCACAGTATACTTTAGGTTAAGGTTTTCTCCTATTGGTTCGATTTTCTGTAGGTTTAATGATGAACCATTTTGCAGCAGATCTTGCAGTTCAGGGTCTTTATCTTGAGATCGTGCAAGAGCCTGGTAATCTAAAGATACTTTAATCTCTTTTATCCGTGAAAGCGTATCAGCTACCACATTATCTGGTCCCGAAATGTAGCGAATGTCTGTGGTGTCGGTGTGTCAGTGTACTGAGCTATAAAATGAAGGTAGCGATAGCGTCGCGGAGGACATTTATCTCTTGAAGTAGAGAAAGCATAAGTAAGAGGCTTATGATCTGTGTACACACTGAAGACTCTAGCCTCTACCATGTGTAAGAAATATTTGATTGCTTCATAAATTACTAGAAGCTTCCGGTCATAAGGGCTATATTTTTTGTGCAGAATTCAGCTTTTTAGAAAAGAAACCTAAGGGTTCCCATTCAGTGCCCTTGTGTTGTTGCAGCACAGCACCGATGGACACATCTGAAGCGTCGGTGTGAATTGAGAGCTCAGCCGATGAATTAGGATGTACTAAAAGTGTAGTATTAGAAAGAGCATTTTTGCATTTTTCAAATGCTTTCAAAAGATCAGGTGTCATACTAATGGGATGAGATCCTTTCACTTTAGGTCCCGCTAAGACGGCGTTTAACGGTGCTTGTATCAGCTTCATTTGGTATGAAACGTCTATAAAAATTGATCATACCTAAGAATCTGCGGAGTTCCTTTACAGTACGTGGTATGGAAGGCTGTTGTATAGCTTGTACTTTTGTATTTAGCGGTAAGATGCCGGATGCAGACACATGGTATCCCAGGAATGTCACCTCATGTTGTCCCCACACGCACTTCGTTGTATTGATCAACACGCCGTAAGCTTTTAACTTCTCAAAGAGCTGAAGTAAGTGGCGTTTATGTATTTCAGGGGAAGGTGAGAAAACCAGAATATCGTCGAGGTATCCGAAGCAAAAATCTTCAAGACCAGAGAGCACTTCATCAATGAATCTTTGAAAAGTTTGCGCTGCGTTCCTCAAGCCATAATTCATGAAAGGGTATTCATAAAGCCCGAATGGTGTAGTTATGGCAGTCTTTGGAATATCCGTCGGATTTACAGGAATTTGGTTGTATGCCTTCACTAAATCAATCTTAGAAAATAGAGTGGATCCAGAAAGTTGGTAAGAAAAATTGACGAATGGGATATCTGTCAGGGATAGTCCGTGCATTAAGTGATCTGTAGTCCCCGCAAGGCCTCCATCCGTAATCTTTTTTCTTTACAAGATGTAAAGCTGATGACCAAGGACTCTCAGAACGCCTTACAATGCCTTGTGCCAACATACGAGTATCTTCAAACTCTTTTCGAGCAATTTTCATGCGTACTGGATCTAAACGCCGAGGCCTACAGGTTACTGGCAGTCCTGGTATAGTTCTTATAAAGTGTTTTGTATTCTGCTTAGGTGTAGTTACAGTACCTGCAGGTCGGATGATCTCCGAGAAGTTATGTAACAGTTGTTGAAACTCGTCACCAGATGGTTTTGATTGAGATGACATCCTCTGGGACTCTCTGGCGTTGTGCGTATACACAAAGGGTAGTTGTGCCATCTCTTAGTCGCTGACTCCGGCAATCTACAAGCAGATTATAAAAACTTAAGAAATCCACTCCTATAATGGGTTTCGTAATATTGGCAATGAAATTCCATGTAAAAGTACGCCTGAGTCCAAAGTCCAGCTGTAGTTGTATAACACCATAAGTATTTATGACTGTACCATTTGCAGCAATCAAACTGTACTTTGTAGGAATACACGGCGTCTTAATAGCTGACCGTGAGAAAACACCAAGGTCTGACCCAGTATACACGAGGAAAACCATTTTAGAATCACGGTCAGTAATAAATAGACGGCCTGTGTTAGCTGGGCAATCGTTGGCCGCTACTGCCGACTGCCCGTTGAGTTTTCAGCCTCCCAATTACAAAGTGCTAAGCATTTCCTGGCACGCGCACCATATGTAAAATGATACCAGCAGTGAGGATCATTTGGAGGTGTGTGTGGTGGTCACGTTTTAGAATAATTGCGCTTACCTTTGACACTAGATTTTACCTGTGTTGTAGTAAGTTTCGCTACTTGCTTAGTTAATCCACTTATCTGTTGAACCATTGCCTCGTAGGAAGAAGTAGGAATACCCGAAGATGAAGTGCTGGCGACTTGTCCTAGGGTGGTTGGCGCAATCTCGTGAACCTTATCTGCTAAATCTGACAACTTATCTAATGGCAAATCAGACTGTGATGCTATTGTTGTTTGTAAATTTCCTGGTAAACGGCTTGACCATAGGGTTTTCACAAATCATTAGGAACTGCAGGTCCGGCAAGATGTAAGTGTCTTAAAAACTGAGATGGCAACAGGTAGTATGGTGAACAAAGAAAGTCCAAAGTTCAGTATAAGGCAGTTATAATTACTTAAATTAGAATTTACATTTAACACTGGAGAATATAAAACAAGCCAAAAAAATACTACGCTGAATACAAACAAAAATAACAAGAGAAAAAGGGTGGAAACTAACAAAACAATCCTAGAATGTAATTATCGTAAGTATAGAAATACAAGGCGATCGAACGTGCGTCTACTCCAGAATCTCTGAGCGAGTGAAGGGCACCTTGGCGTGGTGAGACTATGCTTAATATCGGACGTAAATTCTGAAGGTTGTCGAAGTATTCCCATGGGCGTGTGCGCGCGCGTAGTGGTTTTTTTCATTGTTGGTATTCCCACAAGACACAAACTGTATTGAACTCATAAACACAATTGGGAATTTAATTAAGCAAATCGACTTTACCAACTTGATAATCTGTTTAAATAAAACTAATTTTACAGATTTTATCGCGTATATTAACTTATTTTATATTCCCTACGTTTCAAGTACTTTACAGCACCCATGGTCACGGGGGGGACTGAGGTGTATGACGTCCCAATGTCATAGTAAACCACTGCTAACTCCAGATTAAAAATTATTAATTTTTGTTCCCATCTACTCAATATGAATTGGGTTGGGATTTAATTTTATTAATTATGGGATCCCAAGCAGATGGTAGCACCCAGCCATTTTCTCTATTGAAATTAGGCTGTTTTTTGATTTCAATAGCCTCGAGAATCATCCTTGGAAGGAATCGGTGTTCTTTAGCGAGGATTTGTGTTCTATCAAATCTAATGTAGTGACCGGGGCGATCCTGTACGTGTTCACAGACTGCAGACTTCCCTGCGCGTCGATTCTTCACCTCAGCTATGTGTTCTTTAACGCGGGTTTTAATGGATCTTTTAGTTTGTCCTATATAAGAGAGACCACATTCACAATCAAGCTTGTACACTCCTGCATCTTGCAGGGGAACATTACACTTGACTGATAGTAAAAACTGACTAATCTTCTTCGGCGGCTTGAAGTATGTTTTAATGGAAGCACGCTTCAAGATGTAGCCAATCTTGTCAGTGACACCTCTAACATATACAGTACAGCAGGCACTCGCTCCACTGTGGCCGGCTTCACTCGCTCACTGTGACGTAGGCGCGGGACCCGAATTCTTAAGATACCTATCAAAAAAGGCACAGAATTACTATTATATAGCTCAGTCAAAAAATAAATCCCAAGCAACGTGGAAGATAATTAATAACTGTTCACGCCCGAACGCTGGTTTCGGAATTTGACGCCAGAGGGCGCTCGGCTCGGCGCCATACCGGTTTTGACGTTTGGTCGGGTGGTGTGGCGAGGGCGCGCGAGCGCGGGAGTCGTTTGCCAGCTGTGGTTGGGACAGCACGCTGTCATTTTTTTGTGCGGGAACTCGGAATCGTTTAGGCGCGTCTAGTAAATACAAGGTGTTTTTGGAACGCTCCCGAAAACTAAGACAGGCGACAACACCAAGTATACCTTTGATCATGGGTTACAAATAAATTCGATCCTGATGAAAAAAAAATCATCTTTTTACAAGGTTTTATTAGCTTTATTCACGCGCCATCATGTTAGTACAGCTAAATGAAACGATAATTTCATAAAAAATATCATGAAAATACTGAAACATAAAACCAGCAGTGGAATGACTGAATTGATATCACCTGACCTGAGCTAGATAAAGGTCAATGTACGCGCGAACACAAATTCGCGCGGCCCGCAACTAGCGGGCCATCCCACAATATAATAATTTACAACACGTGTCTAAATACCTAACTTATCTACTTAACCTACTATTTTGCCACTGTGCTTATCTCCACGTAGCCACTTTAATCCGAATTTACAGGTTAAATAACACAAATAACTGGTTCGATTCCCCGCTAATGAAGAAATACTTAAATGAAATGTAACCAAGGTTGGAGTCATGCGTTTTTATTCATCGTGTAGGTATGTTTATTATTCTCATGTATTCAGTTATGTACCTATTCAGATTAGTCTAGTACTAAGTTATTTAAAAAAAAATAGTTATGAAACAGCTTACTGCTCTAAATCCTCCGTGGTCTTAT